AAACTACTTTTGGGGAGTAATTGGTGGGAAAAAACCTACATCGTATTTTAGGGACAGACTAATATGGTCACTGCACACAGGAGCAAGTATTTTCTCATTTTTCTGTGTTACCATGACCACGAAATTTTATGTGGTTACATAGATATTTTGTGGTCTACAGACCTGGGCCTCCTACATTCACAAAAAGGATAGGCAATTACGGTAAAGAAGGTAGGAACAAATTTGGTATTACCTCTTCAAAAATCTGCAAGAATGGCTGTGTCAGACTCTAAAATTCACAGTTCTTCAACCAACCACTTTTCTGACTATGTTGCCCTCTTAAAGAGAATTTTAACAAAAAAAATATTGCTGATATTTTACCGTTGGTTTATTTTCTTGTACCTTTCCAAATTGCTGAGAAGAAAAACTCAAAACTGAAAACCTAAAAGCTATGCATTAGACAGTTCAAAACCATCAAATGTGGTGGTTTTTTTTTTTTTCTCTTTTATGTTCCAGCATATTGTTCCAGGCACTGAGTTACACCTCAGAATCGTACAGAAAGATGTTGTACCAAATTTCACACCATTTCAGATAACTTCCCAAAATTTGAGTCCTACTTGTTTTGGGGAGAGTTTAATGATACAAAACTGAAGCAATGCAAGGATCTAGCATAATTTTAGGTCCATGAAAAGTCCTCATAACAATGGGGTTGTCTGCAATACCAGAGTACAAGTGCAACACAAGAGCCCCATGCAACATAATGCAGTCAGAAAACATTTATTAATAATAAAAATGGTATGATAATACAAAAGTGAAGGCTCAGATTACACTCTAAGACAAAAGAGGTGGGGAGCAGATCAAGTTGCACGGTCAGAAGAGTTGTAACACTCCTAGCTAGCTGGGAACAACTCTGCCATCTCCGTTTCCCCAGCCAGTTATGTTTGCAGAGGACCTGCCCTGCATCTAAATAACAGGGGCAAAAGGCCACCACCATTAACATTTCAGTACTAATCAGTTTTATTTTCTGATACCATTACACAGATGACATCCTTAACTGGTTTTGTGGAGGAAGTGATACTTAAAAAATTAGAAATTGCAGTAAGGAAAAAAATCTACAAATTAGAGGTGAAAACCTGTAACTGTAGAAGGTTTTATTTTCTTCAATTTAATGTGGCAAAACAAAGTTGGATCATAAAACAAAAACAGCATTATGAAAACACTCAAAGATTTACAGTTAGCTAATAGCATCCTGACAAGGGCATTTTCCCAAGATGGCAAGCTGCTTCTCCAAGAAAGAAATAAAATATATATGACAGATGAAGAATAAAGTCCCTGCATTGCAAGGACTTCAACCTAGTTCATTGATGTTTTGGGAGCATACCCTAAATCACCAGTCAACAAATTGTTCAGATTATATGTATGGATTTTGCTCTCACTAAATCAGAAATCCACATAGAAAATCTGATGCTTTTTTGGAAATGGTTTTTGTTTCGAGATGTTGATGTTCTCAAAGGGAAAAACTAAGTTTAATCCAAAGTGTTATTCAGAGATTTCATATGTTCCACTGCATCTTGAGAGCATCTGACTTCAACATAGTTAAACACCAAAGTTTTATACAGAGATGCAGAGAAGTACAACAAAAACCAATTGGGCCCATGAAGTCCTGCCCCTCCCAAGATTCTGAGAGTGTTTTTTCAACACATGGTTGTCAGAAAAATACAAGTGGCCTGAATCTCATCAGTACCAAGCACTAGCTTCACTGCTACAAGGGATACTCGGTTCTGCTGTGAACCCCAGCATGAACTACACTTTTCACAGGGATCAGTGCTAATATTGTTGAAGAGTGAACCTTTTCAGTTTGTTTGCTTTTTTGTTGTTTTTTTGTTGTTGTTTTTTTTTTTAAATTTTGAACTATGCTGAAATATTTTTGAAACATGAACACACAGAAAAGAACAACCACATAGGCTCCTGGACTCTTCACTCTGACCCCAGCTCTCAGCCTGATCTCTCATACGTCCCAGTCTTCCACCACCTACTTTTTTTTTTTTTTTCATTCTGAAGTTGGGTGTTTATAATAGAAACACAGAAGCTGTAGCTACAAAAAATCTGTTGGGCACTGCTGGTAACTGAAACCTTTTAAAGCCAAATGTTTTGGAAGACCTTCTTGCACTTTTTGTTTTAAAGATAATTTTCATGCTTGTTTGTTCAAGCTTGGTCTCTTCAACGAAGGAATGTTCTCTGGCTCCTTTTCAGCATGTATCAGTTCAGTGTCCTGTTAGCTTGAGGAGCTGAATCATCAGCTGCTCACATGTTCATGCTTTAGCTGGGAGTTCTTCCAGAATAAAAGATATTTTTTAAAACTTTATTTTTTTTCTTGGAAGGAAATCTCATTGATTTTTTGGGGTTTTTGAGTTACAGTAAATTAAGTTTTGCTCATCAGTAGAAAAACAACGAGCATATGTTTTGAATACAACCTTTCAGAACATCTATTATCTATAGAAGAAAGATTAAAACATATATCCTTGTTAACCTATAAAGATTGCTGACTTGATAATTTAATTCTCCGCTCCCTCTAGTGATTACAAGGAACAGCTCCATAGAACAGTGCAAAATTGACAAAATCCAGACTTGGACTGCATAGCTGATGGATGGAAAATTGATATCAAAATGCCTGTCCTGGAACAAAAAAGCTCCTGCTTTGAATCCTCTTTGCAAACCAAAAATATCTATAAAATTAAATGACACAGCCAGGGTACAGGACATCAGAACTGTATCATCAGCTTGTGTAAATCAGTGAAGCTACGCTGATTTACACTAGATAATTGTATCTTTGCATTTGCTCATAAACTTTATAAACACCACCGCAATATTCAGCTTCTTCCTTTATCTGTATCTTTTTTTGCTCAGCCTGAGTAGTTGCCTCAAATGATTTTTATATCTATAGACAAGAGGGAATTAGAGAGCTTGGGCAGACTACAAGGTTAGAAGATTACATTAAATCAAGCACTAAACCAAACAGATACTACCTTTTTGCCTTAGAGGTAACATTAGTTTGTCCAAGATTAGGACATTGTGAGCAGAAAACGCCTATCAAAGACCAACACCTAAACTGCACTGAAACATCAGCAAGTCTGGCTTTGTTCAAAACCATTCCCAGAAAAAAAGCACAGAGGTTATCTAAATCTGGATTATTTGAACATGCAGTTATTTTGGCATGAAGCACCATTTACAGTGAATGTGAACAGACTGACTCACTCAGTTGCGAGACATCAGTTAACAATTTTATCCTATTACCATATCAGATTCAAACTAGAACTTCATCCAAAACAGAAATAACTGTTGTTTCCCGTGAAAGATAGTACAAAAAAGATAACTACATAAAAGCATCATTTATGGACTAAACGTTAACTGAGTTTTTTAAACTCAGTTAAAGTCCCCTATTACCACAACAGAAAAATACGTAAAATGTATTTTCCTTGTCCTGACCATGAAGCCAGTGTTGTATCTGCAGTTCCCTGACCTATGACTCATAGAAAGTTATCAGCTTTCAGCTAAAATCAAAGTATGGGAGAATAGACACACAGAGCCTTCTCAGTCTTATATACAACATGGGAAGTCACCTCTGTGTGGACAGTGCTGCAGAAGAGAATAAGATGGGAAGAGTTTGCTCCAACAGAGACACTGCTCACAGGCACAGCCTGGACCTTCCCTGGCCATGAAGAGTGGCATAGCTTCGTTCTCCCATCTGTACCCCCAAAGATACATGCTTTCATCCCCGAAGTGCCTTAGCTATTGCTCACAGTGTGATGAACATCTTGCATGCTTACTTTTTTCTCTGATTCATTCTCAAGCAGGGGAGCAATCATAATTGAAATACAATTTTTGGTTTGGGCAGATTTATATTATGCATTTTATTTTTGTCCTTTGCTTCTGAGTACAGGAGTACCCCAGTCATTACTTTTAATCAGAAATGTATTTATGCACTTTCTAGGCACCCTAATGAAATAGAATCTATACATATTTGTTTCAAAAGATTAATAATGGAAATCAGTTTAGAAAAATTAATTTTGTATTTCTAAGCCGGTATCATGTACCAAGACCACCATCAAACATCACTGAGAACACAAAGGCACTGACATCAACATTGCATTGATGTTGCATTGATGTTAATTAGTTAAATATCCATAAAAAATAATAGAACGAAGACTTTATATTTACCAGAGTCATAAGTTAGATTCTCAGTGGCATAAAACATCACGTATTTCTTTCTGTTGTTTAGAAACTCAGACAGCAATCTTGTTGCTGGGTCTACCAAAGGTTTTCCAATCATATCTTGCCAATGCTATCAGCTACTGAATTTGTTCCTAACTGCCATGGTGTGAATACATTCATTCCTGATATTTTACAGCTTAAAGGGCTTGCAGATGAAAAGTAATTCACATACACCACTTATCAATGAACGTTTTTCTCCCCAGCAACATAGAAGTAAGAATTATTTACAAAAACAAGACATGGTCTGAAAACAGGAGAGCTTCTACATGTACATGTTATATAACATTCCATAAATAAGAAAAATGCTTTGAAGTTAGTATAAACTCTGAATTACCAAGACAAATCAATGTATCATTATTCCAGTTTTAGAGAACTTACTGGATCCTTGGACAGTAACATATACAAAACACTATTTAATTTGCACTTAATTTTTCACTTTAATTTTACTTCTTCTCCTTTTCTATTTGAGATTATAGGGACATAATGAAATGTAAAAACTACAGCAAACTAATTTGGAAGTCAATATGCATTTCTTTACAAAGACATGTACAGAAAACTGAAAGAGAGAAAAGCAGACTGTACCATGCTGTTTGTAGATAGGAGGTTTCCTATAGATGTTATCTTTTACGCCAGTGTCTGAGGAAGAGGAAAGAGAAAGGAAAGAACAAAAGAGTAAGCAAGCAGTTCAGACCATGCTGCTCTTGTCTCCCCTCAATGCTAAAATGCAAACACTTGAACAAAGACTGCACGTTCATTTAGTGGCTTGTCATTCACTGGTTATTACAAGAGAATGAAGCCTAACCCATCATCTTTATATATTTAAAACACTGACTATTCCTACCTATGCAGCATAACCCCCCCTAAGACCCTCAGAATGCTTTAAGATACCTTGAATGGCATCCATTTGCTGAAAGGTAGGCAGTTACATCTGCACTACCAATGTATACTTCATAGACAACAAAGAGAAACTGGCTACACTTCTCACTACTTAAAATAAAATTCATATATAGGTACAACAGACCACTGCAACAGTCACACTTGAAAAGGGACTTTCTCCATTAATTATGAAGAAAGTGTACATGTTCAGATATAGATATTTATATTGGAAATGCCTAGTATTTTTATAGGAAATTCTATAGTTTGTCTATAATTTGAATTGTATAGCTATCCTGGCCTTCCAGGAATTTTTTTAAAGCCCCCCAGAGCCACAGTCCAGGGTTTGCATGTCATGTTGTACAGACATCAGATTTACTTAGTACTACAGACCTAAGAAGATACAATTCCTAATTATGGTGTGTTTACAGAAACATTAACACAAGAAGCTAAACATAAATAAACAAACTATTCCACTGGGCAAGTAGATGTCTTTAGCAGTCAAAAAAGCTAAACAGTGTGGACACAAATCTAATGTGCTTGTAAACTGAATGGGAACTTGACAACAGTATAGTTCATGTGCAAAGATGCAGCCACAGTGAGCTTCTTGGAGGTCTAAAGTCTTCCAGCTGTTTTTAAAGTCTATGTTAGTACGACTCTCTAATTCAAAGAGTAGATGGCTAAAGAAAAAAAAACCCAAAACTCATTCAGCCTTTCCTCCTGCACACAAATGCAACAGACCTATGCAGCCATGGCACTATAAATAATTGTATCTCTGTAGGCTTAATAACATTTGTCACTCTGCTTCCTCTAATGCCTTTTTTTTTTTAATATTCATAAGCACACAGGTCTCTTAACTCCTTCATTTCTGAGACTAAGTTTAACAGTTAATAGATTTTCACTTATCAGACATTTTCTTCTCTTGCAGTTCAAAGTTCACAAATCAATGCAAATAAAAAATTACATTCAGAGGAGAATAAACAGGTGTCAGTAATTCAAGTTCAAAAGCTAAGCAGTGAATGCCTACCTGGAATATGGAAATGCCTAGGAGCCTGCTGATAGACAGAAGGTGAAGATTTGCTGTCTGAGTACATGGATAAGCTTGGAGTGCTCCGACCACTTTCACTGCCTCCAAGGGGAAGAGCAAAGAAAGCAGATAAAAGAAAAAAATGGAAAGCAAAGTAGAGTATTTCAAGCATAAAAGCCTGTTCAGAATGACTTGTTAATCCAACAGTTTTAAATATATGGTTTTTGTAAAACCCATTATTTTTCAGCAGAGTGTATTGGCTCAGTCTCCAAACATCTTATCAATAATTAATATCTGATAGATCATATTAGATTAAACTGCCCCACTTGGAAACTAAAGCTTCTCCATTAAGAACACTTTAATTAAGAAAATAAAAGGACAAGAACATCTACAATTGTCTAACATGTTTTGCATAGCCTTAACTGAATAATCTATCAATCAAGTTTTTGAAAAGTTTAATGCTATGGCTCATAGCCTGCCCTGAAACCAGTAATGAAATCATTCAGTAGTGTTTAAATTATCTCAAAGCAGGACTAGACCAAAAAACAGATGTTATGGTTAAGTCAAATATTCCTGCATATATCAGTGACAAAAACACATGTTGAAATTTGGTTCTTAATTGCAAACTTTTCCCACAGGTAACATGCCACAGCATTTTATATTTATGCAAACAAGGTTGGATTATCAAGTCATGGATCTATAATGCCATAGTCACTTCATCAAATTTCAAGATATACATAAGATTGATCCATATTCATTTTTCCGCTGGTTTTGTCAAATGCTCATAAGGTGTCATTCATTTCCTCTTAGCTAATTTCTCCAAAGCACAGTCTATGGCATTATAGTGCTGCTTGGCAAACAAAAAAGTAAAGCTCTACTTTTTTGGGACTTGTAAAATCCAATTAATTTACAGCACTGTTAAGCAATTGGAAGCCAAACATGACATTTATTCTAACATAAAATGGTTGTAAATTTGGTGTTATTGTTTTAGTCTGGATGGAGCACAAATTTAATGGCTAGCAACAATGAAATTATGGCACGTTTTTTGGGGGTAAAGAAAGTGCAGCAGCTCAGAATATGTAACTGAGTTCTGCCTTCAGGGAGGGTAAGTTTTATAACCATAAAACTACTGGATTACCATAACTGTCTAGGCCACGCCATGGAGGTGGTCTCTGTGGAACCCTTGCCTCTGTCGACAAGCAATGGACGCATGGTCATTGGTCTGTAACCAAAGGCAGCCTTGACATGAACCACTGAAGTCAACTGGGTAGTGACATTGAGTTCAACGGGAGCAGAAGCAGACCAGACGAGGTCAGAAGAACGTGCTGCATATCTCACGATGATACACTAAGTAATCTGTTCTAAATTTTGTGTCTGTTTTTTTCACAGTTGGTGAAAAATTAAAACTTGAAAACTATTCAGCCATTACCACTGTGTACTCAGTAAAAGTGATTTCTCATTGAAAAAAAATGTAATCGGAGCAGTTGAAGAAGTGAAATTACAACTGCACATGCTGATAGCCTATGGTCCTTCCAAAAAGTAAGGGAAGAATTAAGGCATTAATAAAAATCTGGTGCAGTACCACCAACTTGCAGTCAAGTTGTCCTCAGACAAGGAACCAGACAGGTATTCATTTTCTTGATTCACGCTTTGCTCTTGGAAGGAAAGAGTGATTACAGGTTTTCACTGCACATTTATTAATTCCCTCTTTCTTTGCTGCTTGCTGCCCAGATGCTTGGCCACCCCTACTAAATGGAAGAAGCCTCAATGCCATTCCAACTTTGAATGCAAAGAACAGTGGTAGACATTTATGTAAGGCCCTTTAAGACTCAAATAACCTTAAAATCTTTATCCCAAAGTAATGTTACTACTGGAACTTTTTAATTTAAAAAGAAAAGGAAAATTTTCAGGTGATTTTCACAGTGTACTAATTCCTCATTTACTTAGAATTAGCATATTATTAAAAACTCATAATCATACATGACTTGCACAAATAATTACTTCCTCGAGCAGTGACCCCAAGGTGCTGGCATCGTACACACAAAGAGAGTCATTCTTCAGGGATAGGGTAGGGTGTCAGCAGGGAATCAGGAGGAATTATTGATTAAGAGGAATAAACTTGTAAGCAAACAGGATGCAAGCACAAGCACCAGGGGACAGCAAATCCACAAACTGCTCGATGCAAGGATCACCTGGGTGGAGCAGTTTGCAAAGCCATCACCTCTAACTTGCTCAAAATGGAAGAATTAAGGATGAAATCAGGGAAAAGTTTCTTCTTTCAGCCCACTTGTACAAGCTGATGCACATTTAAATTATAACTGTCACCAATTTGGACAAACACAAAAGAGCAGTTTCATTTCATATTTTGCATACAAAAGTAAGTATTTAATAATAAAGCAAACTGAAGGCCCGTGTAGAAAGTTCATGTTAGGAACTCCAGATAGTAATTTAATCTAGCCTATAATAGAAATCTCTAAAATGAGACTTTGCCAAGAATGTGTCTCATTCAAGGTTTCCCTGGTATACATTGAACAAGAACTTCAAATAAGGTCTCAAGAGAAAATAAAACTACCAAAGAGAGTGATTTTTTCAAACTTTTGGTTTTGTCTTCTGCCACAAACAGCTTCAGGCTGTGATCTGCTCCACTGGTAAGTGCAGAGGAAAATAAAACAGAATCATGAACTCTTCCCTGGATTTTGTTTAACTTGGAGAGAATCTGGAAAGGTTTACTTTGAACTTGACTGTCAACCACAAAAACTTCCTTGTGTCTTTTGGCAGCTGACAGGGTAGGCTGCTCTTTTAACCTTGTGTGTGTGGAGCCAACTGACCAGAGCTCAGACCATACGCCCTTTTCAAGGGACTGTCAGGGAAAATATAATATTGTTTAGAACTCCTCCCCAGCCAGCTTTTATCTTATCTGGGAGGATGGGAAACTCGATAACAAGTTACAGTAAGAGCTGTTGAAGTTCCGGATTGAACAACAAACAGATACCACTGGCCTAATGAGGGACATGTCAGAGCCTACTCCTGAAACTGGATCCTTCAGTATCTCTGCACATGGTGCTTTAAGCTACATAAAGTTTAGTGAAGTTTGGTGACTAATTCTTTTCAAGCATTCAAAGCCAAATAAATGGGCTTTGGAAGCTGTGCTCCTGCACTAGAAAGGCAAGATACTTTGCACTGCATTTTAAGTAAGCATTTTTTTAGTATGGCTCAGCATATCCTGTATGCTCACTGACTCCATCACCTCAAGAGGAAGAGTTACACCAAGCATAGGTACTTGGAATATCACACCCTGTGATTTGCTAGGGCATGAACCATGAAGCTTTCTTGAAGCAAGGCTGTCACATGATTTATTGTGAAGATGTTTTAAAGACAAAAATCCTTAAAAGAGCACAATCAAATTATTTGTCTGCATGATAAAGAACAGCTCATCCTATTACATGTCATGGAAGCTAGACTACAGGATAATGAAGAAAGAACAGGAACTCAGTAATCATATTTTTCACTGGAAAAATGATGAATTGTGTAATTCTCAGGATGACTATGATGCAAACTCAGGGAAGTCAAAAGGAAGATTCTGCCTGGTTTAATTTCCCTGGGGTAGTAACATTTCTGTCTCCTGGAAGCTTAAACATTTTTTTATTACAATTGCGAAGTGCTGGTTTTACAAAGATTACTTCTAGTATTATTAACCAGTGTATTATTTTTGGATTTGGATTTGGAAAAAAAATTTAAATGAGCGTGATTTCACTGTTTTACAACTGAAGTGGCAACATTAACCTGGGTCTGGATACAAAGCAAATATTTCTACAATCCTACTCTTCCCACAGTAGCCACTCCGAAGAGAAAAAAATAACACATTGATGTCCTCAAAAGGCTTCTCAACATAAGGAAAAAATACAGTCTACAACTCAGAGAAAAGAATTCAGAGAACTTGAAGAGGATAGAGGTAAATCTTCTAACTCCTTTTGGACTGAGATGTTAACTCAGCTTAAAACAGCGGTTAATCTATACAGCCTCTGCAGGGCTCAGGATAACCTATACAGGAAAATCATAAACAGGCTTGCCTGCCTCACAGGAGTGCTGTGAGGCATTGTAAGCTACTGCTTGCAAAATATTTTATCTTCTTGATAAAAGTGCCACAGAATTGCAAAATATTATAATTTTGATCACACTACTAATAACTGTTTGGGCACATGGAGCTGACACTTAAGGACTTTTTCCTCCAAACAGTAGCACAAAATAATTGCTGCTGCTCTGAGCAACAGCAGGTAGCACTGAACAGAAACTCATTTTAACAGGCGTGCTGCTAAGCAACTGCAGGCAGGCTTTCAAGTAAGGGCTTTCCATACAGTGAAATCCTGCACTGCAACACACTTAACAAGGTTTTTTTTTTTTGCTCAGTACATCAGGTTGGATGATATCGTCCAAATTTACAGGACAGAGCAAAAAACTGTTCATGCAGTGCCTCAGGGAATACCAGGGTGTGTGCCAGCCTTCCAAGAAACGTTTTTGGGGGTGAGTGCTTGTGGGTGCAGGAAGGAATTTTGCAGGTAGACTAAGATGGCAACAATCAGGCTGATCTCCTAAGCTTTTTCTTCCAAAATTTTCTCTCAGGAATCACATTTGGAAGATTCAAGCCTGATTCTGTTCCTGTTTATACCAGTGAAATTCAGCTGACTTTGGACAGAACTGTTTCTGGATGCATTAGGGCCCAATGAAGACACATTAGTTATTTTCCCAAAGGTGATGGGCTGCTGCTATTCATTTGAGTTTGCAAGTCTGGTTCCTGCAGAGGGTCACTTCCTTGTCTGTAATGGTTACAAAGGCAAGAAGAACAGTTTCACTTTATTAAATCAAACAGTACATGAGAATCAAGGAACAGGCACTGAAAACAATTGGCATCTATCATTCATGTCTCCTCCCCACTCATATTGTTACTAGAAAGGACCAACTCAGGGGAAGACACATGTGGTAGCTGAATGCCTTCTCTTTCTGACATTTAACTAACTAGCTAAAAAAAATAGCCTTTGCTTTGAAAGTTCTTGGCATTTCTCATTACTGTGTCAAAAAAAAGGCAAGGAGTTTAGACTCAGTTACTCTGTTTTATAACATTATTTGCTAATCAGTGCAGGTACATTGATTTAACCAGCTTATCTGGCATAATTTCTGGTAATGCTACAAATAATATGAAGAATCCCTAAAGGTAAGTTTGAAGGTTAGGTAACTGATCATCCAATGTTGGAATCAATGTATAAGCTTGTTATAGTATTTATTTAACATAATCAAAATAGGGTAAACACTGTATTTTAGAACAAATATTCTTTTGAATTATTTCCCTCCCTCATTTTCATTAGAAAATCTAATTCCTTCCCTCCACTCTTTTGAAAAACACTTAACACTCACTGAAAAAAAAGCAAAAATAAAACAACCCATATCCACTCAGTTCTTAAAACTTACACAGTACATCAAGAAAGCACTTGCACAAAATTAAGACAAATTTTATCCAAGTGGAAGCCATGCTTGCACAGACATAAAAGTGAAACACATCTGAATAAGTCTACAGTATCACAGCACGGTTTTGCATTCCTGGACCTTACCTTTGAAGAAAGGGATGTAATGATGTCTGAATGTAGATGTAGGGCTTGGGTGTTGGGGCAGGGAGATGCAGCTACTGGTACCAAGACTCTGAGTACCAGCTGGGGGCAACAGAGAGTAAGTGAAAATAAACTATTTAGTTCACTTACTGAAAGCCACAAATTACAATGCCATCCTTTTTTTCAGGAACATTTTCCTCCTGATGCTTAGAAAATATATAGTTTATATTTAAGACTTCATCTTTCTTTTGTTATTGCTAAAAACATCACAGTGGCCATACGATGCGGTTGGCCAAGGGATATGGGCTTTCTGCAGACAGAGAGAGTATCACATAAAATGCTGATAATATAACGCATCAGAAAATATTCCAGAAATGGCACCACAAAAAGCATAGCTGCACTCGGGGGAAAATCTGCATATTCAAAAGCTGCAAGTGGGAATGATATATGCTCATAATGGGTCTAATGAAATGAAATGGAGAGAGCCTTGTCTCTGCTGGGAACTGTGCTACGAGTGGGTCCAGTTCTCACTGCTGTCAGTGCACACTGGTAGGATTTAGTTCACAATGTACCAGGGCACTCAAGTGCATGGCTAATTTAAGCATTTGAAGAAACATCCTCAAGTTATTTGAGCTCTGAAAGTTAGACATGTGATTAAGTGCTTTGAAAAACATTCTCAGAAGTAATCTTTGCTTTGTTGTAATAATGTCCAGATAAGATATTTTGGAGGATTAATGGCAATTATCAAAAGTGGCAATTATGGTGACTATCTTCTAAATTTTCAATGAAGCTGTAAAACATCAGAATTAATTAAGAATTTCTTTTGTCTTTCCTCCTTGCTTTAAGAGTGTGCAGCTAAGCTTAAGCATGACACAGCTGCCAGACCTTCAGCAGAGACTAATCTTTCCTCTCTTTAATAGATCTCAATTATTCAATTGAGATTTCATTTCCACTTTGTCAAAGACTTTATGTAGTACAAATATTCAATTCCTGTAAAAAATGTGTTACCCATAAAATTTTAATTTCCACTGGAAAGTTAAGAACTCCCAATTTTCCAAACTAGTTTATAATATGTCCCCAATGAAATTAAAAGACACCAAGAAAATAATACAAATGCCTTGAGTTTTCCACCCAAATGATGGAGCGAAGAAAAATGAGACTGAATTTTGAGCAATTTAGTTAATTATTTCTAAGGATAAAACTCTGTAAAATGCCCAAATACAAACGAGCCTTTGTATGAGGTCCCCATACAAAGATCAAAAGGGGGTGATCCCTCCTCTCCGTGCAACAAGAGCACCAGCATAGCAATAAGCATTGCTGTAAACTTCTCAACTAAAGTAACTTGGCCTTCAAAATCCAGCCATTAGAACCACTAGTCACTCCTCGAGCTCTTGCACTGTGGAGAGGAGACACAGACCACAACCCTGCGGTACAAGAAGGGATACAAAGTCACTCAATCCCCCTCTTGGCTTTGTGTGCATTCACTGCTCCATGCCACACCGTGAAAGAACTGTGGATTGAATGTGTAGCTTCAGGAATGATGGGACTAGGATTAAGTCCTTTAAACTGTTCTGTCTTCTGTTTACAGATGCATAAAGTCATTCTTTCTAGATACCTGTTTTCTTTTTCTTAGATGATCATTCCTGAAGCACTTGTTTCCTTTCTCCCCAGGGGACAATAAACAAATCACTGCAATGAATTGCTACTCCACCTTAAACCCCTGTCTACCCAAGTCTACCCTACAACATAAGACAAAGTAGTGGAAAAATCTAGAGAATAAATACGGCTACTTTTCAATTACCTGGTCTGCTGTAATGCTGAGGAGAATGTGAGGTTGGAGTGTAGCGACCGTAGCCCAGCGAGCCAGCAGAGCTAGGACTTGACGTCCTGTACTGTTTGAAAGATCTGTCATCTTGGTCACCCTGAGAGGAAGAGAGGAAATACCTGTCATTAGGGAAGATAATTCACTTATGAAACAGGCAGAATATGCCATTTTGCACATTTCTGTGCTGTGTAGATGGAAGTCAATGCTGTCATAATGCTCCATGCAATCCCAATGGAATGAGGCAGCTTTCAGCTGTAAGCACCTCCACTGCAATGTGACTCTAGGAGCTCTGCCAAGTATCAGAGAACAGTCATGTTCCCAGGAAAGTCAGCACATACATTAATTTAATGACAATATAATTTGAAAAGAACATAACACTGTACAAATGTTGTTTCCAGACAGTATAATTCCCTGAATATACACAGGTGGGTGGAAGATGGGATCAGGTTAGCGTGATAGTACTATGGTCACTTTGTACCCATATGAATGGACGCACAACAGTTACAGGCAACACAAAAACCAGCATTTGTTGGCTTCACTACATCACAAAACCAACTGTGTCTGCTGTACAAATTGCCCAGCATACCATATTACAACGTTACTAGCTAGGTAACTGATATAAACACTCATATACAGCATTAACACTGCAGCATTGTGCAAAGCAGGTTATACAACCCATTTCCCACTAAACCCTTGGCTTCAACCACTTAAAACCATGTACATCCATTCCAAACCCCTCACTCTCTACAGCTAGTTAAATTACAATTGCACTTTGCATGTAGTGTCTTCTTAACAGTAAAAGCATTACTAAGTGAATTAGATGGGGAAATGACTTTTTGTGAACTAGCTATAAAAGCAAATTCAAATTTCTTGTTTCTTTTAAGACAAGAATTGTCTTGAGTTAACTTCAAATTACAACAAATTGAGGTAACCTGCAGATGCTCCCTTATGGAAAGTCATACTCCAAAAAATGCATCATCCCTCCTATTCCAATAGGAGTGAGTGAAGACAGGCTATACCACAGCGTACCATTAGTCACTGGTCATGAATCTTGGGACATCTTTAGGCACCTGTGTCACTCCCACTGGATCATTCATCATTTAAACACACAGGAGATTCTACTTAGCTCCATCATCATCTCCCAGATTCCTATCAGGACAACATAATTATATCCATCCATTTGTCTTTAGAGGAATGCAGTTTCCCATTTGGCTTTTCTGGGATTACCCTCAACTCTATGGAGATGTGCAATGTTCTCCCATCATCAGTTTTTCTCCTCTGGCTCAAGTATGCTCCATTCCTTCCACCTCACCCCAGACTGCATTTTCAAAAATGGAAAATCAGTTCTCTATAGGGGTAAGTAGCATTACTGCTTCAATATCACTTTCAGAAGAAATTATACAAAAAAAGAGAGAACAATTGATGCCTTCCCAAGCATGCAGCATTCTGTAGGCGTTCTGCCACCAACCCCTCTATGCTCAGCTTGAGATGTTTCCCTCCTGAAGTATCTACATTATTTAAGATCCATTTTAACCCTTGTGAAGACAGCGAAGAGAGTTACAAGCAGTATTGCAATGTCTAGGAAGTCTTGTGGTGATATTTAAATACCATACAATGTTAGTTAACGGTCTATGATGTGTCCAATTGTACAATATAGTGGAGTTTTCCTCCAATAAAATTCCCTGCAACAAAACTGGTGACAAGTTTGCAGATGATGATGCCTGATCACCTGATCATAGACTCTTTAGAGAAAGATAGCAAGCATGGCAAAGCTGGATTACCTGAAGAAGTCACATAACACGAAACATGGCAGCACCAACCTCCATACCAGTGTCACTTCTGGAATTTAATAGTATGACTGTTTTCTAATGATAGCTAATTTAAAGGAAATTAAACAAAACGCCGAGATTTCATATTGATTATTTCAGACCTTACCTTTTGTACTTTGTGTCTCTGTAAGGAACAGTCAATCAAGTTCATTAAATCCAATATGAAATAAAGAAGATTTTTATTTTTAAGCTGTAAATTAAATTACATTTCTATTGGTTAACTTCTCTGTTTAACCAATGCTCATAGTGACAGTGATTTACAATCCTTATTGAAAATTCGTGACTCTCCACTATTACCAAAATTTTGCAAGACAGTGCTGTTAACATAAAATTAGGATAATGGAGAAAGTAGCCAGGTCTGTGATATGTAATTGATTTACTATCTGGGAAGCTTTGTGAAATGCTTTCACTGCTTCCAAGGTGATGCTTCTTGCAACAATGACCGGCTTTGATCATGAATGTACATCAAAATCCACAGACCCAGCAGGTATGTGCAAATGATTTCACAGTATGTCTGCACAAATAGTAAGGAGTTTAACTATTTGTGGAATAAAAAAATAAAAATAAAAAAGAGAAAGCTATGCCAAGCATTAATTTAAGTCAACTCATGCTGGCAGCTTTGAATGTAAACATAAATCATATTTCCCAATGTAATTTATTTAGTAGAGCTTGAAGAAGTGACCACAATACAACCTTTATTTTGGAAAGCAGAAACATGGATGACAGTGGAGATAGATGCATACAGATGACAATCCAGAAGCAGAGCATGTATTCAACACAAGTAACACTGTGAAAAACATAAATTAGAAAACCCCATGCACTGTAGAGGCAGGAGGCAAACCCCACATTTCACACGCTGCTGGTTATCAATATGACCAGATTTATGCATCACAAAATGGGTCAGAACAGGAGAACGAAGGCATTGGGGATTACCTCAGTAGGTGTTGGAGAGAGCAACTGAGGTGACTGCAAACAGCAACACACAACAAATTAGTGATACAAATTAATGCATGATGTTACTTGTGAGAAGAACTACTCTTAAAATACCAATATCCATGTATAACACGACACAGTTATGATAAACACCTGTCAATTAAGTTAGGGCAAGTTTTCTTTTTATTTTCTTTTAAAGAAGTAAATAAGGAATGTGATATAAAAAATTTCATATAAAGCTTTTGTTGATTTCTTTACTACAAAATCCTAGAGTCTGGTGAGGCCGGTACTGTACCACAGAGTACTGCCAGTAGGGAAATTCACATTTAATGCAACTGCCTGAGACTAGACACAAGCCCTAGTTAAATCTGCATTGAAGTACCTCAAAAAATCTGGACTAGAACTTTGTTGCTCAGAGATGGCTCTTTTAAGAGAAAGAAAAATACCTGTGCTATTTAGTTTTAGATTCAACATCATATAATTTGAAAATTTGCTATTCATTCATTTTCCTTTCAAAATTAAAGGCTAAACTTGGTTACTTGAGAAGAAATCTACTGAAACTATTGCAGCTGCAGGTGTAGCCAGGATATACACACGTACAAACTGGGGACAATAGGCTGGAGAACAGCCCCACGGAAATAGATCTGGGGGTTTGGGTTGATGGCAAGTTGAACATGAGTCAACAGCGTGCTCTGGCAGCCAAAAGGGCCAAGCATGTCCTGGGGTGCATCAAGCACAACATAGATGGTCGGTCAAGGGAGGTGACTGTCCCACTTTACATGTGTGCAGCCCCACCTTGAGTACTGTTTGCAGTTTCGGGTGCCTCAGTATAAGGACATCAGACTATTAGAGTGTGTCCAGAGGAGGGAGACCAAGATGGTGAAAGGTCTCAAGGGTAAGAGATACTAGGAGCGACTGAGGTCATTTGGCTTGCTCAGCTTTGAGAGGAGAAGGCTGAGGGGGGACCTCATCACAGTCTACAGCTTCCTCACAGGGTGCAGTGGAGGGGGAGGTGCTGATCTCCTCTCTCCGGTGACCAGTGACAGGACACAAGGAAATGGAATGAAACTGCGCCAGAGGAAGATGAGATTGGACATTAGGAAAAGGTTCTTCACCAAGAGGGTGGTCAGTCACTGGAACAGGGCCCCCAGGGAAGCAGTCATGGCACCAAGCCTGTCAGACTTCAAGGAGCATCTGGACAATGCTCTTGGTCTTATGGTTTAGTTTTAGATAGTCCTGTGAGGAGCAGGGACTTGATGATCCTCATGAGTACCTTTCAACTTGAGATATTCTATGATTTTTTTCCCCTGGCAATATCAAGGATGTAAATATCTGGAGCATCACAAAAATGTGCATGTTGGATTGCGAGCACAGCCCAAAATGCCATCCTTGTTTAGGCACCTAGAAACAAATGACTGGACCTCACTTTTTTTATTTTTTAACACTGAGGTCTTGCTGACACAAATGCCTACATCAGCACAGACCTACCTGAGACAGCATTAAATTGGTGGTGCAAACAGTCTAGATGTCTCCTACAGCCCCAGGGGAAAAGGCTCCCATTCATGATGTGGTCACTTTTATCTTCTGTTAAATTATACATGTACTGAAATAGGCAATGACTCCAGTTGTCCCAATAAACCCCTCCTGTCATGGTCTAACCACTGAGCTACCCACTAAAAGCAGGTGACAGTAGCAATATCCTCTTTGCTGTGATTTTATTTCTTTGTTTGGTCTTTTTAGAGCGTAATTGCAACTACCTTCTACTCCACTTCTTAAAGTGCGAAGCTGAAGTTCCCTCAGTTCACAGCCACTAAGTGTCATCAAAGGCTGGGCTGCCACCAAGACAGGTAGTTTCACAGTTGTCCTGCCCGTGGGATTCCCAGCTTTCGAGTGATGGAATGGAGTCAGATCACAACAAGGGTTCAGAAGAAACCTAAGCCCTACCACAGCCACATGGACACTTGCTCTGGCAGAGAGGAGAAGCAGCAAGTGGACAAACTGATACTGAGGGCAGGCAGGGGGAAACTCCCTCTAGCAGCAGCATAGATTTATGCTGGGTGTCATGGTTTTGTAACCATCACCTTGGAGAGGGTGCAATGAGAGAGTCCTCACAGGAGCTGGGTAGAAGGCTGTTTAGTCTATAAACCTCTGCCCAGTCTAGATGTCACCTCTGCCAAGTCTAGATGTTAATGGGTAGTTGAGGAGTGCCACAGCACCCACAAATGTTGACGTAGAAAGGAGTCCACAGGTTCAGGGCTAGGAAGCCCTGCAAGTCTGCAAGATCTAACATATGTGCTGAACTTTACCTGACAGTAGGTACTGAGTACTCTAGCACTGAGATCACAGAATCACAGAATGTTAGGGGTTGGAAGGGACCTCGTAAAAGATGTACGTGATAGCAGGATTTGGGCTATTTTAAACAGTATGGCTATTGTTTATAGCGTTTATTTCTACCCATTTACTTACACCTATAGAGGACAATGCAGACTTCCATGCTAGCCATACATATCTTGATAATATACCTAGTATATAGAAGAGGTTTGATTTGTAAAAAGTATCTAAAATTATAAAAGAAATCAGAAATTCAAACAAAAGGCAGATATGGTTAGGGAAGAAAAACTAACTTGCATGACAGGAGTTATATACAAAAACCAAAATAAGTATTAGTAAGATTACATTAAATCAGATGTCATTAGCACAAACTGCATAATATTAGCTCTGCATATGAATAGGTTGAAATGCATGCATGACATGAGGATGAACTTTAGTAAGGGACAGTTGAAAGAAATTTGTGCATAGGAAAGTCATACCATTGTTGTGTAACCAAAATAACATGGTACATTAAAAAAAAAAAAAAAAAAGGCATTGAAGACATTTGGCTTCGCTTCTGATTTTTGCATTATAATTAGCAATGGCTCCTGTTTCCTACCACATGCATGCAGAACTCCTCTCGTTGGAAACATATTTTAATTACATGTCATCTGTTTAAAAAATGGTCACAGAAAGCAATTCTTTAATTTCCACAAACTAAAAAGTGAAATGAACGCCTCATCTTTTGGATGGCTAAAATGCCCTGTGAATGAATGGATGACATGATTCAATTAACTGAAGTTGTATTTTGTTTTTACATTATGCACGTGTTTAAGAGTGTTCAGCAGCATGTTTAATGATCCACATAAAATCTCAAATTCATAGTAAAAAAAATACCCATGTTTCAGTACCTCCCCGTAACTATGCCTGTCATCTGAAGAGTAACTGATATATGGAGAATAGGAGATCATATCTGGGCGGTCAATGTTATAGATGGCTTTATTTTTAGGAAGAGCAGCCAAATCCCTGTAGTCAAGAATTTCATCTCCAAGCTTTGCCTAAGAAAAGGAGGAAAGAAAGCAGTGAGAATAAGAAAGAATATGATCAAGATGCAACCAGAAAAGGGCAGATATGTTTAGGCAGAAAAGTAATAATCACAGCAGCAAATCACTTCTTCTCTTTTACTATACAATGCTAAATATTACCACTGTCTTCTTTTTATATACTGGTGCTTTCTACTTTCCTTTGTCACTGGCTAATAGGAGTAGTATAGCATCATTCCAGTTCCCTTAGTTATATCTCGCTTACTGCTAACTGCACAAAGAGATATGGGCAACAGATATTGTTGTCTTTTTCATGCAAAATGCCCTTCAATTTAATGTGGTTTTGGAGCACAGGGGTTCCCTTACCATAAGCAGTAGTGAATAACAAAATACATATTTCCAACATATACTCTCCAGATGCTGAAAAACATTAGTCAGGTCTTTAATTTTTCCCATTCAGCAGTGTCCCACAGCTTCACCTCCTTTCCTGACTATTTCTAAATACCCCTTAATTATGGGTCACAAACCAGCAGATGATGGATTTGCACCATGGTGGATTAGTTGGAAGATCACAGATTCTTTCAGAACTTTGCAAAGTTCAGACTCTTTCATGAGACTCACGTAACCAACAGAGGGAAGAGCTGTGTCGCTCCCTATTCTCCTCTTGCTACACTTATTCCAAAAGTATTACCAAATGCCACATTTGCACAGATTGTCCTTATCAGTAACTTTCACTAATCCAGCACGCACTGCCTTGTAGATAGTACAAGCTGGTCACAGTGAGAGTGGAGAAATGGGCAACATAATTGTCTCATTCCTGGTTCAGGCTTTGCAGAATGATGTTGTCTTTGTTGGCAACAAAATGAATAAACTACACTGTTCTCTGTAAATCTCAGTATGATCAGCTATAAAACTGTAATAATGTTTTCTACATGCAAAAATATGAAAGTATCCAGGATTAATGTGTGCAGTGATTATATTTTTTTCTCAGAATGAACTAAGAAAAGTTCAATAGATTTTCCAAGGAAGTTTTTGATTAGGTTAAACATACAGGAAAAATTTAGTATGACAACTTTCATTTATCCCTTTTTCTAAAACAATGTATGAATTTGTGCAAACATAAGCAACAAGGAAAGGAGGAAGATTCCTCTTAACTAAGAAAATGGAACAAAGCTGCCATAACCACCACATATTCTCATTCTCAAAACTAATGAAAAAACATGTTTTAGTCAAATATGTGATTCTTCAGTGTTCTATAGCTCTCATCTTCCTTGCAGCTACTTTAAGAAGCTAAAGAGCAATGTAATAGCCCTTTAATGAAAATAAATTCCTCCCTACTGAGAAGCCAGTGGCAAGCTCTGATGCAGGGACAGGTCATGCAAAGATAAGGAGGAGTCTGTCCATCAGGTCTCTTTCAGGAAGACTTTGGGCAGCATTGTATCTACAAGAAAGGCCAAGGAGGCTGTGATAATTTCCTTTTTAAGGTATACAGGGTTATGGAGATTATTCTAGTGAAAACAAAGAAGTTAAGAATTGGGAATATTTAAATGTGACTTACAGTAATTTTAGCCCCTATTTCTTTATGTAGAAGTGCAACTTGAGATCCTCCCACTAGACTTCAGAACTGCCAGGAGTAAAACTTACCTAGTTACGTAATCCCTTTCAGTTTAAATATCAAAATGTAAGCAAATTTGAATGAAAAAACACCTTAGAGACACAGTTGCTTTCTAAACACTCAATTCTACAAACATTCAGCCTGCATTGTTTTTTATTTTATTTGTTTCCCCTACTTTCAAATATGTGACTGGAATTCAAATATGCTAGGGAAGGCTCAAATTACAGCTAAAAGGCTTTAAGCCATTTCTTCAATAATCTGGTATTTTGGATTCTGTTGAAACGATGCTCTAAGTTCAGAGTATCTATTTCATTTGGAATATGTAATTTTATGATTGCGTAATTGCAAGTACAATCTTGTATAAAAATATAACTTGATTTCTATTCGTAGTATGAGAACATACAACACAGCTATGTAACCTAACCTAAATCTTCCAAATAGATCTATCTTTGAAGGGAGCTCCTAATTATCTCTTTATAAAATTTAGCTAAGTATAAAGAACTTTCATTTAAACCTTATTTAATGCCATAATTTAGAAATTAATTGATTTTTTAAGTGGTATATGGGGACTCCTGAGGGGATGTCTGCACTGGGGTAAATTTCAGTCTAGATATAATCCAGCCATTACTAAGGTTAATGAAAAGATGCCCATTAACTTCAAAGGGCATTGGCCTATGCCTTCTCTCAGTGCAAGAACACAGTACAGCCTGATATCAACAGAAGAAGAAAAGAAGTACAGCTTTAGTAAACAGTCTGTATGAATCACATTCAAGTTTAGTCAAAACACAGTTTATTTACCTTTCCCTAGCTCAACCATGACCCAGGAACACATCTGCCATGGGATAGCATGTTCAGAATGATTGTGTTGCTATGACTTGATGCCTTTGAAAGTATGAACACCACAAATTTATGGTTCCTAAACTTTAAGCATTTTCTCTTAATTCTCTTTTGTCCAACACAATACTTTACAGAGCTCACCAGTTATTACGGTACAGTTTCACTACTGGTTTTAATGACCTGCTGAAAGCAGCTGTCCCATGTGCACCTTCCCACTCTGCTCTGCCTCCTACGTTAGCAGTGGAGACTTGTAGATGGCTGAGCCTTTTTCTGCCTCTTTGGTTGGCTGGAGGTTTATCCTGGGTTATTTTTTAGCTGAATATGCTCTCAAATCTGACTGATCATACCTCTGTAAATACTAATACTAGAATCAAAGAGAAGATGGGAAGACATGGCCGGAGAGAGACAGGGCCACACGTGACCTTCCTTTCAGTGGCAGCATGAATTTAGGTTTGGTAAAACCAATCACGATGGCACTCAAGAAAAATCTTGAGCATATCTGTATGTCATGACACTCCTCTAACAGAAAACAGAAGCAAAAGATAGTCAAAGAATCATTTTGATAATAGAGAAGTCCAATAACATGTTTTTAATTCTTTTTACTTTCCTGGTCATGAAAGCCAAGATAGGATTTAATCAATCTCACAGCTTTGACAATTAAGCAGTCACAGAGATAAGACAGATATATCAAGAACTTGCATGCCTCTGGGGAATCTTTTTTCCTAATTGACTCATATTTGCTAGAGAACTTTATTCTTTCACAGTCCCAGCTGCCTCTAAAGCATATTACAGTAACAAACATTACAGTTGTGTGCTGATTTAAATGATACCCTTTGAAAAAAATAGGAAAAGGGAATGGAGGTTTATCCTTGACTTTTAAAAGCCTGTGAAACATATTTAAATCTGTAATCACAAACATCAAGAAAAACAGTACCATTCAACAGTTAGATAAATGTCACTAAAAACATACAAATCTTAAAAGAACGCTCATGCTTATGAAAACAATAAAGTGGTATATGGCTGGAGAGATAGAAACCATATGGCCAAAGAAAGTGCTTACATGGTAATAGGTTCCTAGTACAATTAAATGTCTTCACAGGAGTCCAGGCAATGATTTTTTTTACTAGGAATATACCACTGGTATCCACCAGCATGGAGCACTACTGGAAAAACTCAGAAACACTGATGAGCATTTAGATAAGGGGCAGTTCCTCCACTTCTAGTTCAGTCTTACGCAGATGAAGGATATATTGTGTTCAAAATAATTTTTACTTGAAGAAAAAAGACAAGTTTGGCTCCAAGGCACTCTTTTGCTTGTCTCAATGTAGTAGATAAAAGCCCTTAATCTTTGTATAATAACCTCTCCAGCAGTCAATTGCATCTCCAGCAATTTCCTCTGCACATGTTCCTATCCGAGGAGAAAGACCTGACTAACGAAGGGATACCTGGACAGGACCAAGAACAGCCCTGGGAATGCTGAAGCTCTCCAAGAGATGTTTGCATGGAACATGCCACACTTGTGGATACTGGCAGTAGCCTTGAGAATCTAGACATGAACTTTAGCTACAGCAATTATGACAAGCAAGGTATACCTGGTATTGAAAAAAAATACCCAGTATAAGCTTTTATCATACTTGTTATTTTTAAGTCTCTCTATGAGCTTCCCAGAGCTAGCACGTCTCAGACCATAAACACATCAAAGGTCCTCTGAGGTTAGGGACTGGTGTTTGTCAAGGCCCGAGCCCTGCAATCACACACATGAATGTTTTCATAAGCAATCAGATGCAGGCTCAAGAGCTCGATTTAGACAAGTTGTGTTCAAATCTAAGCTTGTAATCTACCTGTGGGCTGTACTGTTTACTTAAACTTTTCTTTTTAGAAAGCACTATGGTATTTCCCATGCTTTGGTATAAGCCAGCTTTAGTGGTAATGTAAGTGCTATAAATACACCACAAAAAATAATAGGAAGTTGCCAGAATTCTGTTATGATTAATGCAGCACTCAAACATTTTAAATGTGAGAAAGTAAATTCTGTTTTAGAGGAATCACCAGCTGCAGTGGTTTGGAGGCACTAGCTTTCCACACAATGTGCTAAACTGTAGGAGGAAGCTTGGGGTTTTCCTCATCCCCTAGAACAAATTTCACCGTGAAATACTCACATAGATCACACGGCTTGGGGAACCTGACGTACTTGAAGCAGGTACAGAAATAATACTCTCAGATGAAGTCCTTGTTTCCTATGGCAGGAGAAGAGAAGTGAAACATAAGAAATAGAGGAAAGGGAGAGAAAATATAACTGTTACTTCAAAAAGAGTGTGCAAGACATTTCATTTAATTTAATGTTTACCACTCAAAAATGGCATATTACAATGAGCTCAAAACATATAGGCATACCAAAGAGTTAAAAATAAAAGAACACCTTTAGTCAACCAAATTGATCTTTGGACATGCAAAAATGATTTTACATATGACTTTCTTTTGCCCTCCTTTCATAACAAAACAGCCTGGAGCACTTCTGGGCTGCCAGGACAGACAGCCTTTGGGCACTATCAGGGGACAGTCAAGTTACAGCAGCATTGAGTCTGGGATCACAAGATGATATGGTGGCAGCATTTTTACTCTAAGGTTATACCATCAAACCAGTCTACATTGCTTCTGGAATGTGTCATACTACCATGCCATTCAGACATAGCAAACAGCATGGCATCCTGCTGAGCATCCTGAATCAGACACCCAATGGGTTAGCTTTCCCCTCTCCAATTGTAACACTAACAGATTAGTTCTAATACTCAACTGGTTTTGCTCTGGTTTCAATAATTCTGGCATTCAGAGGGACAGACTTTTTTTTTTTTTTGTGTGTGTATTCCTTTATGATGAAAAATATGGTTTCTTTTAAATAACAAAGGGTTGTGAGACACAGTATCAACCATGAGTGAACAGACTTGACATCCATAATTAAAGTTTAAACAAATGTTACCATAAAATCAATGGGTTTATATCCTCTTTTATCCAGATATTTTAATTCATCATAAAATATTATTTCCTATCTATCCTAACCTGTCCCTGATTGCAAAAAGTACAGATTTGTCCATGCGCTCAGAATGACCATCATTAACTGTCTCACCAAAGGCTGACACTCCTCACCTGGAGGCTGCAACTGTTCAAACCCTTAAAAAGGATTTTAGCATTACTAAGCTGTCAGGTCAAGGTAGCATCCTTCCTACTATTCCAGTTTTTCCTTGAAGTATTTGCTACCTTTTAGAAGCAATACGTGAATATATCTGTACTGTACTGAGTTAGCAAAGCAAACAAACTCAATGATCACAACTATCCTTCCACTGACCTTCTTTAGCCCAAATAGTCCTATGGTTTTCTCTGAGATTGTATGTGGAGATACTTACCCATATAAAAAAGATTCAGTTTAATCGTATTGGCATGTCTGTCTGGAATTTTGGAATTTTCTCCCTCTCATTTTCAGTTGTCTCACACTGAGGCTCTGGACAAGCTCAGAAGGTCCAAGGGGACAAGCCAAACACCAGAATGGAAATAAGAGTATTCTCTGAGAAATACTTGTAGCTGCCATTGAGATGATCATTCAACGTGGACAGTGTAAGTGCACTGCTCTTCTTCATAGTTAAAGCACAATGCAATTTCCCAGCACTTGTGTAAATGACATGGAAATGTCATCAACGTACTGATGTCAGCTGCAAACCATACTTCTTTTTCAGGATGTCCCTACAGGAGGTCCAGTGCAGCAGAGAAAAAAACCCTGAAGAAAACTGCACTATTTCAATGTTCTAAACCTTATTAAAGTCAAATTACAGTTTTGGATAAACCTCAGGATTCTCTAGATAAAGCTTCACAGCTTCTTTCTGTGTCATGTGCGTCAGTGGAGTGTGTTTTAAGATCACACAGTATACCATGACCTTAAAATGCATAATATACCTGGCTGAATGTATTTAATAACTCTTAATAAATTCCTGGAGTTCTTTCAGTGTCTTTTCTCAACTTAGAGGTGCCACCTTGTTTTTAAGAACTACAATTCATTAAAATTGCTAACTCTTGCAATCAAAATGTAGAGTCTTTTCTTTCCAGTATACTTCTGCAGATTGCTTCCATGCTTTCTTATGCTATTTAGTGACTCCAACAAATTGTCCCACTTCTCCTCCTGGTGATTAAACCCTGCTTATTCCACAACTCACACATGATCTTTATTCTCTGCATGATCCATTACCCCTTTTAGCATCCCCAGTCCATGCCTGCTGCAAATAATCTCCTAGCTTTTGCAATAAAAACTCACATCTCAGTTGACTCCACTGTTTCTTTTCATTTTTTTTCTCCATACTACACATTTTTATTCCCCCTCAACCTATCACTTTTTCCTTTATGCCTTTTGAGAGTCCTTATCCTTTCTCTTGCTGCTTTGATTTCTTCTTTCTTTTTCCGTTTCATCTCTTCTGCTTACAATCTCACTCTCACATGATTTTTCTTTGTGCTGTCACTCTCTTTCACAACTTCTTTTTCCCTTCCACTCCATCTCCAAAGTTTTGGAGTGTGCTGCCACTTACTCCTGCATTTGTCACCTACTTTAATTACATGCTGTGCAAATATTTATATAAATATATAGAAAGATAACTTTTAAAAACAACAAACTGCAAAGTTTGACCAGAAACTTTCTCAACTAGTATATCCCATTCCCAACTTTAGAAGCTATGTTGAAAAGTCCATAACTACTCTCTTTAAAATGTCATCCATTCTTCATGGTTTATTTTTTCAATAATGAGCATAAACACCAAAAAAAGGGAAAGGAAAAATTACTGGATTTGGAAAAATTCTTTGAGCTCCTTTCTGTTTTTTTCCTACTCAGGCAAAACTTCCACTGACTTTCAGATACAGATGTCTTCCTCTCTGCTGGGGAAGGGGCAGACTCCCAGAGCTCAGAGAAATGCATTAGCCTTTACACAGCATTTACAAGTTCACTTTCTTTGCCTTCGTGAGGAAAAGGTAGCAAGCAGAAACCCAGTACAACTTTGTCCACTGCTCTTCTTTGAAGGAGGGAAAAAAAAAACCCAACCTACTACATTTTAAATAAATTACATGAGGTTTTAGCTTTGTAATTTCAGTTACTCAGAATAAAATCCTTATGAAGCCTGAAATACTGCTTAATTAGGCTGATACATTAGCACTTATTATTTTGACAATTTTAAATGCGTATGTATTTAACAATATATTTTATACTGAAACACTACTTATTTGATGTTCAGAGCTCGCCATGAAGAATACCAGAGCAATCACTTCTCAGACACATGGTTACAAAAAATACAGCCAAGATCTTTCAGGGTAAAGCCCAAACCAGTTTCTTTTCAAAACTGTAATTTAGTCAAAGTTGCACTTGCTAACACACCAGCTTTGTAAATACCCTTTTTATAGCTCTGACCGCTGTTCTGACTTGTCCCATGTGCCTTCCGTCCAAGTCTTGATGAATCAAAGCAGAGCTTTTTCAAACAAGGATACCAAGGGTACCACTTGGAGCATCAGAGAACATCAGAACTGAAAAACTCCATACTTGGCCTCCGCATTAAAAGAGATAGATGCATCTCACTCCCACCACTTCAGAGAGATCATTTCCCCAGCCACAGATTAATTCTTCATTTCCTAGGGGCAGCTTATTCATCTGCTAACCTTGTAATTATCAAAATTGCCAGAACTCCTCCCTTTTCCCCTTGCACACAGATAGATGCACAAATCATCCAACTTAAAGAGGTACTTAAAGCCAGAGATTAAATTAAGTAAGGAATGGCTTGCCAACATTTTACAAATAAATAATAAATAAAGAATTCCAAGGAGATATTTTTTTATAAAAACAAATAGAATGAAAGTCCTCCAATCTTTTAAGTGCAAAGACACATAAAAAGAGAAGAGGTCATGCACTGATCACATCATAATCAGACAGAGGTTAAAAATTAACTTTTTTTTCTTATTCCTATTTTCACATTTTTCCTTATTCAGCTTATACATAGAACTCTTAGGTCAGCATTCTCCTGGTGTTGTAGCTTTAATCACTAAGTAAAAGCAGAATATTTATATTACCTTATTACATTACATTATCTTACTAGAATTCTGTCATTTAAAATTATAGTAGTAAAAAATTCCAAATCCTTCCCTCCATGCCTGCTGCAAAAAAAGGGCTAGAGAATAGTAAGACAATGGAATAACACTGGGTAAAAATAAAGTATTTTTACCTTGTTTTTTTCTTCAGCCTTTGCAGCCTGTCTACAAACTGGATGCCAAATGGATGTACCTAGAAAGAAAATTTAGAGTTCTGCTTAATTCAGTTCCCCAATAAGAACCTTAAAATGTCTTAAATAAGAACCTTATTAAACCTTCCTATAAGGTTTTATAAGACACAGCATACTGATTTATTCCACTGCAGTCACTATTTCATGGATAAATTCAAAGCTAAAACTGACAACATCTCAATATAATTTTAAAGACTAGGTGCCCTTCAGAAAGCTATGTGTACTTCAGTATGTGAGATCAACATCAAAACCTAAGAAGTGTGATATGGGATCTCTTGAGCTCCTCCAGCCCAACCTCCTGCTGAGAGCAGGTCCCACAGCTCAGGGCTGTTTTCAGTTGGGTTCTGCACATCTCCGAGGATGGGGATCCCACAGCATCTTTGGGCAACCTGTCCCACTCTCATGGTAATTTTTTTTTTTTTCCTTTTATGTAGTGAGAACATCCTGTACTCTTATTTTACATAATCTTGTAATAGTTTGGCCCAGTTCCTACTAAGTAGCACACTGGGATGGGATAGAATGGAATAGCATTGTGGCATTTAACACTAGCTGAAAACCCAGTCTTTCTTTCTGAATTATTCACTGCACTGACCTTGCACTTCCTACATGTTTGTCTCTGTTAAGTAAAATACTAAGGAAACACATTAATTCAGGGGAATATCTATCCCAGAGGAAGCAGAAAATACAGAATGAACCAATTCTCTACTGCATAGAATCATAGAATAGTTTTGGTTAGAAAAGACATGTAAGTATTGAAGAAAGGATCATGAACTCCAGAGATAAAAGTAACCAGAAGTATGAGAAATAAATTTAATAGTTTTGCATGAGTAACAAAGAAAAGAAAAACCTTTTTAAAAGTTGAACACAATATTCAATAGTCAGTGTTCAATGGAAGTGGAATGTGTGTAACTATATTAAAAAAAATTACTTGTAAATTTTAATAGTAAAAAGGAATCTTTACATTTATGCCAGTCTGAGCTCAGACAAGCCACAAGCTAAAGCTCTGCACAGGTAAATAATGTGAGTGCACTGCAACTTCTGTCTGACTAAATGGGAAATTGAGAACCTTTGTGTTATAAATATTTAATGTTTATACTGGGTGGAGAGCACCAAGAAGATTTATTCTAAATGCTTTGTTTTCACAGCAGTTTGATAGTTTTCTAACCAGTAGATTTTGGAAACAAGATAGAAACAGAAAGTCTTATTTCCCAGAAGACAGATGGAGATCATTAGAATTTATTTCACAAAAATAACCCAGATGAACCCAGACTCAAGCAGTAAAAGACTAAGTACAGACTGGATAAATTATGTTTACAAAATTACTGAATTTTTTGAGGGGGATCAAACCACTAAAAAAAAAAAAAAAATCTTTATAGGACCCTTAAATTCAATGCTAATTTATGTTCCAAATATGAGTGGGTATGAACTTGCCCACTGAAAGAGTTTGTCCCAATTGCTGCATAAGTTGATGTAAATCTTCCCAATGGTTTTAAGTAGTACTCAGAACAATTTTTTTGAATGACTTACTCCTGTCTGTGGTCACACAAAACCACCTGGAAAGCTTTTTGATACTGAAGAAAAAGTATCCTTTCACCCAATAACCACCTGCTGGATGAGACCACTGAAGACTCAATTTCTGCTAAGGAACATGCAACACCTAAAGGAACTTTACATTAATTAAGAGGATGTAAAACAAGTTAGAAAACCCTGGGGTATGAAATTTTTTACTATCTAACACATCAGGTCAAGCAGTTCAAAAACCTAATCACAGATCTTTCATGATAACACCAGTTTCTAATGAGAACTACTTTTCATGTAAAGACGAAAAGTGTATGATTGAAAGCTGGTATGAATTTTTCACGCATCAGAAAATAAAGTGAATAAGGTGGGTCCAAATTAACCAGACCTGAGCATACTTTGTGATTATCTGAATTAAACAAAACCTAACAAATATCCGCCTTTTTAATAAACCAAAATGAAAACAAAGACTCACTACAACCCAGCTTCAGAGGGTTTGAAATCTAGAAACCAATCTGTAGTTCAATGTCTTTTTTTAAAGCATTGATTTCCTAGGGGATTTTAGTACCACTAAGCTACTTTTGCAATTGGAAGAACCACAGCATTTTCTGGCTCCTGAGGGAGAATCCATGAGCACAGACAAGGATCATTATGTCCTTTAATGAGCTAGTTCTTGTTGTAAGCCAAAGCGACAATAAAATTGTCATTTTGAATAACATACTAAATTATAATTAGATCTTACTGAGACCACTATTGTGTTTTAAATAAAGTCTAACTTTTCCAGCTTAATGAATGATTTCAAAGTACACTTCTAGAAAACTGTGGACAATTGCAAAGTTATAATACAGATCTGGGTAAGCATGTGATTTTAGGATAACACACAGGCCTTGCAGTTCCCACATCCTACTGACTTTCTCTTTTCTGTTTTTCTTTGAAAAGATACTGCCAGTCAAAGACATAAGCAAAAGTCTTCATTTTCTGCGACTCCGTATTTATTTAACTGTGTAGACATTGTTTTTTCTGATCAGTTAAGTACAGTTAAAAGTTGCTACATATGAAATAGAGATTTTACATCATATCTACCTTAAATATTTTTTTTTCCATTGAATAAATCATTGTGTAATTCCTTGTTTATTACCGCTGAAATTCCCTGATAAGAAACACTTAATTTCTCCTCTGCAAGCTTTTGGCTGTGTAAGGTATAGGCATGTTGTGTGGTAAGGGCTTCAGCTCCACGGCATCCTCTTCTCCACCCTCTGAGGGCACTTAGGTCTGATTGAGGGGAATTCAGGTAAGGACCTTCAGATTTTCTCCTTGTACCCAAATGGGCAATGGATACAGACTAAGGACTGCAACAGCAGCTTTAGGGAACCTGCTGTCCTATATGCATGTTAACTTTCATCTGCACTATTTGTCACTGCAGAAAAATCGTATTTTTTCAGTAAATGGGAAATTTTATAATCTACTTCCATCTGCAGGACATAACTCCTACCATTCATTCTTTCTGTATTGGATTTGAACTGAGAGAGAAGTAACAGTGAGTAAGAAGCAACAAGGGTTTTGTTTTGCTTTTCTTTAGCCTAAACACTGCATTCTTCATGTTCTTTGGCAGTTACGAAGTGAGAGAATGGGCAAAATAGCTCAGCCATGCCAGCAGGTATGGACAAGAGGGCCATGCTGCCAAGCATAACTGGTTTTAGGGGTTTTTTTGTTTGTTTGTTTTTACCTTGAAGATACATTTCTTCTCCTTCTGCAAACATCTGACTGCACCTGACACATCGTGCACACGTTGGGTGATAATGTTTTTCTCCTGCCTGTTTGGGAAAAAAGGTATAGATGATTAAGTACACTGATCAATTTAGCAGCTTCATTATGAGAAGTTTTTCTTTAACCCTCTAGAATATGACTAATTAGAAGAAATTAGTTAATGTCAATTAGTTCAACAATCTCCTACAACCACTATGCTTATTTTTGATTATAGATAATCCATTATTTAAAATGTAATTATGGTCTTATCTACACAAAAAAGTTAACATGCAATAGTTAAGTCTCTGAATTTACAAAATGGAAACAATTCTATATAGCAAACACATCTTCCCTGTAGATAACCATACTGTGCACCAAGTGCAAGGTAGCTTAGGGCTCACCTGTGGAAGGAAGTTGGGAGGTCATAACCTTGAGCATGCATTTGCAATTCATTGTAGGTTCTTCATGATCCCACTGAACATGTACTCTTAACATACAGCAAGAACCATCTTGTTCAAGGAATGTTTGTATCTGCTTTGAAAGTGACTTGTAGGTAACGGGTACTAAAGGGTTTCCATGAGGACTGTGTGTGCTGTGCTTATAGGACGCAAGTTCAGAGTTGCCACTTGCGGGTACTGTGCACTAAAGCCCCCACATGGACAAGCCAGGAGCTTTGGCAATTGTTCTGAGATTAATCCTCATAATTCATTACCACCATTTTCACTGATTGGAATGAGAACAGCCCTAAATTTGCTCAGAACAGCTTAATAACTCAGCAGTTTTCATAAATTTAAATTTCCAGTTACCATATAACCCCATTAATTTGAACTGTTGCACCACTGAACTCAGTGTCAACATCAATGTGTAACACAGGCAAGATGAACATCAATGTGTAACACAGGCAACAGTGAAATTAACCTCAAATGGCTACCAGAAAAGCTAAGATTCTTGGATCACAGGATTTGTGTAGGACTCAATTTTGGTAGCTGGGCCAAAATTCAATTCTATGGCCACCTATGGGCAAACTTGTTTGCTCTGGTTCCCACAGGCAAGGACAACAGCACCACAAGGCCATGTCGGCTTGAGCCAGTGACAAAAACAGCATTCAGGGAGTTGGGCTCTTCTGAGTGAAAAACATGGGCCAGCCTCTCCAAACTGCACTCCTACCCCACTTTTCAGATGACACTGACAAAACAGAGTTCAACAGCCCCAAGCCAGATTTTGTGCATGCTCCCAGCACTCCTCACTCTTCAAAATCCCTACAGAACTGAAAGGCAAATCTTGGCATCTCCTTCATCCTCTGACTCCATGTTCTGTAATACTCATGGTTTAAGTGGCTTAAGGTCAATGCCACTTCCATTATGAACAAAAGCCAGGAGACCACGTAACTCTAAAGATTAGAGCTAAGTGAAAATAAATTTACCTTATAGTTAAGCTAAGTCTGACTTCAATAGAAGTTCTCCTGGAGATCAAAATAAGCAAATTTTGATCCATGTAGGATGTCTCATAATCTGTTTATCTGGAAAAGGCTGAAAGGGCATTGTATATTATCTTTAAGAAATTAGTATCAAGTATTGCCCCACCATCTTCAGCATGTAAATATGCTTTCACAGCATTGCACTGTAAATCCTCCTTCTATTATTCTGGAAATTTAACACTGTTACTACATGGATGACTTGCCTTACTCTTTTTCATTGACTGAATGTCAAAGTCTTCAGAGGTATTTATACTAAAGAACATAACCCGTGTCTGGGGGCTATTTTGCCATTCACAATATCAAATACAGGAGTGTGATAAATTTAGGTTAAAGATTCTCTGATTTTACATCATCAGTATTAACTTGGCTCACCCCTGAAAACCTGTTGCTATATTTTAAATGGGCAATGCGGAAGAGCAACACATCACATCAGAATTGCCATTTTGAAAACAGCTTTTTTTCCAGTTCACTCTTCTTTTTATGGTGTCATTTGTGCAGACTGCTGGGTGATTTCTGCAATTTAAGACACGGAAGATGGTTACTACTAGCTGTGTCGACACTAAGTATCAGACTGTGAAGTATCAGTACCAGGTTTAAACCTCAGGTTTAAAATTATTTGACTGAGTACTGCTGTTTAGGCACAGAAGGTTATTTAACCACCATGAGAAAATATAAATTGGGAACATCAAGCTGAAAAGACATATCATTTCCTTTGGAAGATTTGTACTGCACAAGCATTGCTAATGCAATGCATAGACTCAATAATTCAATTGATTTAGCAGAGCTGATACAATTCCCAGGCTAACACTCTCTAAGGGAATTCAATTATTCCTTTGCTAAAATAAACTGTCAGAACACATTCTCAGATAACCTGGATGCATCACAGAATAAAATCTATTTCCCTAAATTTAACAGCACAACCAAATACATAATCTTAATTCACTCTGTAGAGTAAGTAATATCAACTAGCTGTAGAATGGCACGAAGAGATCTCTTTTTGTAAGTTAGATACAATTATAACAAGAAAATCATGGGGAAAAGTTGTTGTGGTCCTTTTGTTGATGCTCACAATAGCAAAACTCCAATGGATTTTGCATAATTACCTCTGAATTACAATGACATACTCAAACTCTTCATATAACTTTAAGTGCTGACAGACTTCTTTTTTCCCTCTTTTAAATTTTTTGTTATGATGTCGCTCTTATAACCAAAGCACAGAAGAAAAGACATGGCAGACTCTTCATCACTTTAAGTATTTATAACAGAACACATAATCTTTCTAAAGGAAAGGTGATAGCTGAATCTGAGGTTAGGGACTTGATGCAGGACTTAACTAATAATATTCCCTGGTATGTTTAGATATATGAATATAATATTATATTATATTATTATTATTATTATTCCCTGGCCTGATTAGATACCACAAATTATATTCAAACCTAGGACCTGGGTGTGTTGGGTTTGAATGTGAATCATAACCTCACTTGGGTACGTGCCAAGAGCCCCTTTTATCAGTGCCCCTTTCTCCTCTCTCTTCAGGCTGTGTCACAGGCTTCATCTCGTAGATGAACAATTGGTCCCAGCAGTACCCAGAAATTTTATAATCTTAGGGCAGCAATTGTTTTTATGTTTTCAGCTTAGTTGCAATTACAGCCTCATTATTTTTTCTTTTCTTGGTTATACTGATGTGAGGGAGTTTAAAGCAGCAAACAAATTCCTAACCATATGGTTACTTCTTCTTTGCACAGTTTGAAAGCTTAGTTTGACAGATTGTTGTCTCAGTGTTTAATAAAATATCAACACACACATAGCACAGAAGCGGCAACATTCATTTCTGAGAGATCTCTTATGGTTCAAGTAGTAGATTGTAAGAAACCTGCTCAGTATTGTACATTCGCTTCAAGGCTGTACCAGTGTCCTGGTTTTCAGCTGGGACAGTCTTTGTGCCCAGGAATCCAGATGTGAAGATAGTATTATTATGAAGACCAATTTAAAGATTAATTCTCAACTGAGATTTCCTCAAACGTGAACAGCAAAGTGTGTCCTGAGCAACACAGTACACTACCAAAAATTTAATTTCTCTTCAAGTGAGTACACTAGCTTTCCACAATCACCCAGTCAAAGTCTCGGTATGTAATTTAAAGGTGGAGTCAAAACAGTCCTTAACACTCAGAGATAAAGTATTATGAATTACTTAATTCCCTTTAGGCACAAAGGAAAGCTTTGAATGGTAAAGTTCTGCGCAGCAGGCAGAGCCTTCTGGGCTGGGTCAACACGAGGAACATTCTCCCAGCGGAGCCAAGGAGCTCCCTGCACCCCCAGCCCTAAGCGTGGGGCACACCACAGCGTTGCTACCTGTTCCCTCATAGCACATCGACAAGTAAACCCACACTTCACTTAAAAATGGAACAGAAATCTCTGCAACAAAGTACATACAGCTACTTTTTCTCATTTCTCGTAACTTCAGGGCTTGAACTAGGTAAAAGAAGAATGAACTTTATACAACAAATGTGAATCACATCATTTAAAGCACAATTTGAAGAAAATAAGGAGTGCAATCCTGGAGTTTGCAGAGCAGTATGAACAGTGAGCCTGGAAAACATGCAACGCTAGCAAAACCAGAGTAATTCATACTGGAAGGAATAATACTGTGTTTTAAATTAGCTGCCATCACTCAGGAAAAAGATACTATATAATTGCAGACAGCTCAGCGAAAATCTCTCCTCATTCTCTGTTTATGACTGCAATAACTGATGAAGTGGTAGAATATATAAAAGATGATATGTATAATAATTGTAGCTCTATGTAACAATGACATTGCTCATCTGGCCTCTCATGCTGTTGCTAGGAGTGTGACTGATGTCATTTTTTACTTCAGTTGATGAGCAACAACTGCTTCTGGATTGACACTTGATGGATTGAACCAGAGCAGCCTAGAGTTCAAAGCACAAACTGAGTCCTGGAAAGAAGACTCAAGATTTCTAATAATTCTTTCATCAGTGAAGCCTAAATAAATCATATCTCACCACATTACTCAGTAAAGTAGCTAGTAAAGAGAAGAAAGTAGACAAAATCATTTAATGTGTTAAATAAACTCATAACTATTTGGTGAATGAAAAGTTTCCAGTAAACTTTTTCTTGAAAAAAAAATAAATTAAAAAATCTATCTCATTATTAAAATGCACAGTGGTAACAGACATCATTTACCTCTGGGAGTAGAGAATTTGTAGAAGTGAGAAAAGGTTAGACTGCTGCAATGATTCAATCATATCAAAGAATATTTTCCGTTTTAAGGTATAATAGGTTGCTTTAATAGTGCATTATTACCACTGAGTGTTATCTATTGAGGTAGGTCCAAATCCTGCCATCCTCATACTCTAAAATCTCCAAATGAAGTCCTAACTGTATTCTACACTGAACAAAGATATTGGAAATCAGCCTACAAATCACTGAGCCTGCTGGTATGCCACGGCATGGTGCAATTGCATGACCCAGAAACAAAGCCAACTGAAGACTGGTATAAAGCATTCTTAGTTAAAAGCTTTTCACATGGAACAAATTTGCTGGAGAGTTCAGTCATCATCAACCACC